GTGTGTGTGTGTGTGTGTGTGTGTGTGTGTGTGTGTGTGTGTGTGTGAGAGAGAGAGAGAGAGAGAGAGAGAGAGAGAGAGAGAGAGAGAGAGATGGGAAGATTGCCCTGGCTGGTACACCAAGGATTGCAGTGGGTAGAAGTGGATACAGGAGAACCTGTTAAGGGTCCATGCAGTCATGAGAAGAGAGATGATCACGGCTTAGACTCAAGAGAATCTGAAAGGATTTTTAGTGCTTTGATGTTAATGCTTAACTTGAATCTCTTCTGTATGAGCCCAGCCAGGTAGACCAGATGCACAGCTTTACCTAGGACGTATGTGACATGAGCCAACCATTTCACACAGCAACACACCACCTACTCGACCACACACACACACACACACACACACACACACACACACGAGAGGCCAGGACTTACAGGTGTTTCTCACGTTTTCTTTTCAGGCCCAGGTGGTAATGGCCAGTCTCCTCGGGGGGTGGGACTTCCTAAGAGGCAACCCCCTTCCTGTATCCTGTGGGCCCCTGAGGTGGAGGAAGAAGATCCCTGGGGCCTGAGGCCCCAGCAGCAGCGGGCAGCGCTTGGCCTGAGGTTGGTTTCCAGGGAAGCCACCTTCCTGGAAGCCAGCAGGGAGGGCATTCCCGGCCCTTTGATGCTCCATCCACGGGAAGGGCCTGTGGAGGTTGATGGCGCCCCTGACCCGTCCCAGCCCTGCTCTTCCCGCCCTGTTCCTCCCCCTACGAGGCCCATCTGCACAGCCACCCGCTCTGATTCATGACATTCAGCCTCGTGTAAAATCTTATGGAGCTCAACGTGCAAAGCAGTTAAAGGGGGAGCCTCTCTAGTTTAAAGAGCGGGATGTGGAATCCCGCCTTCTCGGCCCAAGGTAGCCCCTGAGCCACCTGGACGGCACACCAGGTGCCTTGTGGTGGGAAGAAGTGTTGAAGCCCCTCCTGCAGGTCAGGAGAGAGGAGTGGTTTTCATTCTTGTGTCCCCTGCACCCTCACCGCAGCCCCGTGAGGGGGAGACCTGGCTAGAAGCCTGGCTCCGGCACCAACAGGAGTGGAGCTTAGACAGCTCACTTTACGTCTCTACGTCTCAGTCCCCATATCTGGAAAATGGGTGTAGGAATGCCCCCTCCGAGAGTCCTGGGAAGGGGAGGCGACATAAGCCCGTGCCTGCCTGGGACGGGTGACTCAGGAAGATGGTGACAGTTGTTATTTCTCAGATTCCCCTGCATGTCCCCCTTTTGCTCGGCCCAGCTCACACCTTCCTAAGAGACCCCTCTGCTCCCCACACACGCGCGCGCGCGCACGCGCACACACACACACACACACCCTCCCCGGTCTCCTCCCTGACTCCCGGGGCGGGGTGGACAGGAGGGTGCTGGGACACTGCTCTGGCCTCCTTCCTTCACATCCCACCTGCCAAGGAGTTGCCACCCGCCTTCCGCTCTATAAATAATGAACCAGGAACACGAGAAAAAAACAAGTCAGAGCAGCAGAGTAAATGCCAAGAACTGAAGGCTCAGTCCTGCCCCATCTCCTCAGCCCTGGCCTCTGGAGACAGACTCAGTCCCTCTCTTCTGGAAATGCAGCATCCCCTTATCTTGAGCTGCCCTGATGATGCCTTTGGGCCCCACGGGGCCACTGAAACTCTTCCGCTTGTTATTTAACTCGGAGAGAGAATTCTGACGCGGCCGCACCTCCCGACCGGGTACAGGAGGAGCCATGAGGGTGGAGGACCAGAAGGAAAGAGGCTGGTTAATCGTCCCTCGAGCCCTGGACTCTTCCTCCTGAGACTCTCCTGAGCTAGGAGGTGCTGTCCCTGGCGATGGGGCAGGGCCAGCAGGACAAGGACCAGGGTCCAGCTCAGGGGGCCAGCTGTGGCCAGGCCCTGAGTGGAGCACAGCTGGGGACCGCCCCGGGGTGGCCGCGAGCGCTCTGGCCCTGCAGCCCTCTGCCGGGGTTGGAGCCTGCCGGCCAGCCTGGCGAGTCCGCACACTGCTCTGTGCCTTGGTTCCTTCGTTTGAAACGTGAGGATAATCACACAGGTGTCTCGTTGGGTTGTGAGTAAGGATTCAATGACTCCTCAGCACGTACAGCACTCCGTGTGCCGTGTTGATTATACGGTGATAAACAACCATCCGAACTCTGCTTCTCAGAGTTCTGAACGTGACCAGCCTTTCGGGACAGGGGAGGGGCTCCAGGAGACCATTTCACTGATCGACACTCAGAGGAGTGTCCGCTCCGTGGCCAGGCACACGGAGGTTCCAGAAGGGTGTGTGGCATCTGTGGCTCCCACCTGGGTGAGGGCACAGCAGCGGCAAAGGTGCTCCAGCTGCAACCTCCCTCCCTTCGCTCCAAGGGCCCCAGCCCGGGAGCTGGTGGCGCTCTTTTCGATGACTTCGCCGTTTTCCGTAATAGCGACGCTCCCTTCCCTTCTGCCAGGACATTAGACGGCAGGTGGGATGTTTATGGGAGCCGCACTCCCTCCGGAGGCCTTGATGAAACCCCTCCCAGTTTAAAAACAGAAGAAAAGTGCTAGGGAAGTAAAGCCGGCGGACTTCCACGGAGGCGTGGCGTTCCCGGGAACGTTTTACAAGCAGGCAAATAACTCTTAATAGGGCATCACTCAGAATGCTGCCTGGGATACGGCAGCAACCGTAAAACAGGTGACAGGCTAGGAGCCCTCTGCCAGGCTGGCTGTGACCAGCCTTTCTCTCCCACTCGAGACAGCATTCAGAATTCAGGGGCCTGCGGGAAGCCCCAATGGGGGGATGACTCCGAACCCTCTCTCTGAAAACGGAACAAGGAGCCGCTTGCAAACATCAGCCTGTGTTCCCATAAACAGGACCCCACAAGTGACCGTGACCCCGGCACGACCCGGGAGCTGCTCCCCTCTGCATCTCCCAACATCAGGGGGCCCCAGGGGTCAGAAAACTCCTGGGCTTGACGTCCTAACCCCTCCTCATAAACTCCTTGGGTCAGCCTGCGAGCTGCCCTCACCGCTTCCCAGCCTGGGAGCCCCCCAGCTTTGTCTCCTCTGTGCCACAGTCTCCGTTTCTGCCACTCAACTTCGTCTGATGGAGTTCTGCAGCCGGAGACCACCCTGGTTAGCATCAGAAAATGACCCTAACCCCCGCATTTCCAAAAGTGCACTCCTAGATTCCCTGATACGTCACCAGTGTTCTCCAAAGCTGAGCACATGCAGCACTTTCCAAACATATTTGAAGAGGTTTTCTGGTCTGCACAGCGGGGACGGTGAACGTGCCTCCCCACGTGCTGTCAGGAACAAGTACTGAGGCCCCGCGTGGTATTGAGGCCGAGAGTGGCTCGAGCCTCGAGGGCTGGGATGGGTGATTTCACGTGGAAAGGTGGGCACCTCGCGGAAACGCAGAGGGAAACAAGTGATGTGTCGGCGGGCCCTTCTTGCTGCTGGGGGAGGCTTGGAGGGCAGAAGGGAAGGGGCCCCTCCCCGATCCACGTGGTCCCGCACTGGCTTGAAGCTGCAGGGAGAAGCCAGTACAGGTAAATGCCCACTGGGTGGCAGCAGAATCCAACGAATAAGATTACAGGCCCCTCCTCCCTTCCCACCCGACTCCCTTTACCTGCCAGGTGAGGGCTTAGCAAGGCCCCTCCTTTCCTCCTCTGCCCCTTCTCACCGGACCCTTGCACAGACGGAGCCTCTGCGAAGCGCCCAGCTCCCAGGGCCTTCGCTGACTTGTTTGCTGAACACCTACTGTGTGTCAGCACCTAGGATACAGCCATGAGCAAAGCCTGGGATGCACAGAGTCAGAGGCCTGTGATCCTCTCCCTTCTCTGCCCAGATGCCAGCCAGAGAGGGAAAGACAGTGTGTTCTCAACAGGGGTGAAAACTGGTTCTTGGAGAATAAGAAAAAAACCTCACTCTTCTAATGTAGAAAGCACAAAAACACAAACAGGACATAAATGATATCTATGGTATTAAAATTTCCAGGCGGGTACAATTAGGGTAAAAGGGCTCTTTAAGGAGGAAGTGAGGGGAAAGGTAGAGAAACATGAGTTTAAGCCAAGCCAGGGCTCACTCGCAGGGCCATGCCTCCAGCACCCCTGCCAGGCACCCCATGTCCTCTTGATGGTGACAGGAAGGGGACCTCTCCCAGCCTCTGTCTGAAGGGTCTAGCCCCTCCTCTGTTGCTCTCCGCCCCTGCTCTCCTGCCCAGGTGGGTTTTCTTGCACGAGAAGGCATACCAGGTGCGGGACACAGCCATTGAGTCCTCGGTGGTGACCAAGGTGAAGGGCTTTGGACACTATGCCAACCGAGTCATGGACGTGTCTGATTATGTGACCCCACCCCAGGTAGGGTCCCCCTACCTACCCCAGGGTGCTTGGGTGCCCAGACACTGGGCAGGTTGAAGGGGAGAGGGCAAGACAGGGAGAGTGCCAATGGGATGCCCAATTGTGGCATCGGTGAGCCAGAGAACTCCTTCCCCGGCATCCGGGAGGTGTTGGGGGCTTGGGTCTGCCTCTCCACTAGGCAGCGCTAGGTATGGGGGAAGCTGGGTTTCTCTGTAGCCCTGGCACAACTTGTCCTGAAATCAAGGACAACACGCGGAGCAAGAAGGGCCAGGTGGGTGGAAAGAGCCTGGCTTGGACCCCACCTCTGCCTTTTATTAGCCCCGTGACCTTGGCCAGATCTCTTAGTCCAAGCCTTGGTTTCCTTGTCTGTACAGTGGGGATAACAGAATTAGCACCGTTGCATTTTTCCTCTCCCTTCTCCTCCTCCCAAGGGCACCTCCGTGTTTGTCATAATCACAAAGATGATTGTAACCGAAAACCAGATGCAAGGATTCTGCCCAGAGGTGAGGGGAGGACAGCATGGTCAGGGGGTGGGGTGAGGGTGTGAGCAGAGGCCCAGGGCCCAGCCTTGGAGCTGTGTCTGGGGACCTCCACCCTCCAGAGGCCGCCGATGGGCAGGCCCCGCCCCCGCAGGGGCCAGTGCGGGTCCTGCACGCACCTGTCTCCCTGCAGAGCGAGGAGAAGTTCCGCTGTGTGTCAGACAGCCAGTGCCAGCCCGAGCGCTTCCCAGGGGTGGGTGAGTGCAGCTTCTTCCCCACCTCTCACTGCCCCGCACTGTCAGTGGGGCCCTGGGGGCAGCACGTCCCCCCCAGGGGAGAAGCCACCCCAAGGGAAGGGGTGGGAATGGGCCTGTTCCATGTCACGCTGCCAGCACTGATGGATGCGGGCTGTGGGCCAGCCCGGCGGGGCTGCCCCCAGAGTTCCCAGGCCAGAGATGGTGCTGCAGACAGGTGTGCCATGAGGTGGCAAGTGCTGTCACGGAGGTACCGTGGGACCCCGGGGTGGGGGGGGGGGGCGGGGAGGGAGAGAGATTGGTTCCTGGCGGGTGACCCCGAATGGCTTCCTAGAGATGGGCCCTAAAGGATGGGTAGGATTTGGCAGGAGACAGAAGCTTCAAAAAGGGCATTCTAGGCAGAAGCAACAGAAGCAGCAAAGGCTCAGAGGCGAGAAAGAGCAAGCGGTGAAGGGGTCTTCAGGGAGCCTGGGGCTTGGAACGTGTGAGGGGAGGGCTGTCACCTCCCTCTGGCTTGTCTAGGGCTCAGGAAGTGAGGAGGGGAGAGCCCTGCAGGGCTAACGGACCCCCAGTCCCTGGCCCTGCCTGTCCTCTACCTCCACCTGCAGGGTCCCTGTGTGCGTTGTGGGGGGTGCGTCCCTGATGGAGGGGTGGGGGGAGGAAGGGGTGAAGGGCCAGGGGTGCACCTAGCAGTTCTGGCTCCACCCTCGCAGGGATCCTCACGGGCCGCTGCGTGAACTACAGCTCTGAGCTCCGGACCTGTGAGATCCAGGGCTGGTGCCCCGCCGAGGTGGACACGGTGGAGATGTAAGGACCCGAGGAGGGCAGGCGGGAAGAGGACCCAGCCCAGCTCTGCTCTGCCAGCAGGGGGAGCTCTGCATCTCTGGGCACCCCCAGGACTGTCCACTCCCAGGGCTGGCCGTGCCCACTGGGAGATGCTCCCAGGAAGGTGGTCCCTGGGGTGAAAGCTCCTCCTGTTTCCCCTCTTCTTCCCAAGGCGCTAAGACCTCCTGCTCTCGCCCACAGGCCTGTCATGATGGAAGCTGAGAACTTCACTATTTTCATCAAGAACAGCATCCGCTTCCCCCTCTTCAACTTTGAGAAGTGAGTTCAAGCCCCCTTCCTAAAACTTACAAGCAGTGCTGCCACCCCACCCTTCCCCCCCATCCCCCAGCTTCCCGGGGCTGCTATTCCCAACCTCCCCAGGGTGGACCCTGGGGCCAGTTTCTCTGCCAGCCTCCTGCCCTGGGGCTCTGGACCCACGGGGGCTTTTGCTCAGAGCAGGGGAGGGACAAGCTGAACCTGGGCCTGGAACTCGGATGCCTCCGAAGGTGGGGCCGAGGCGCTCCTCCCATCTCTCTTCTCCCCACCTCAAGCCCAGTGTGCGTGTCCCCTTTCTCTTAGTTCAGCCCCTCTTCAGTGACTTCCCCATTTGGCGACTCCTGGGTGGGTGTCGGCCACATGCAAAGCACAAGGCGGCACAACAGAGGGGCCATGGGTAAAGACTCCTGCCCTCTGGGAGCCCCAGCACACAGAACCTTCTACGGGAGGGAGGGGTAATCGCCAGAAAGATGTAGGGACAGAGGTAAGGGAGAAGGCGAGTGGCCAAGAGAGCGGGGGCCCTGAGGCTCCGGACGGCTAGAGGAAAATCCGAGCGTGACTGTCCTCGCGTTAACCCTGGACCTTGCCCTCTCCTCCCCAGGGGAAACCTCCTTCCCAGCCTGACTGCCACCGACCTGAAGACATGCCGCTTCCACCCCGACAAGGCCCCCTTCTGCCCCATCTTGCGGGTGGGAGATGTGGTCAAGTTCGCGGGGCAGAATTTTGCCAAATTGGCCAGCACGGTGAGGAACGAGCCACTCTTCCCTTCCCTGGCCTGGGGGCCCTCGGGCAGGGGGAGCGGCTACTGGGGAAGAGGAGCTGCCTGCGGCGCAGCGCCGCCTGGTGGGGGCATCCCAGGCCTGCGACCGGCTTTGTGCCTGTCCTACCCACCCCTGCCCTGAGTGGTCTTGCCTCCCGCCCAGCCTCAGTTTCCCATTCCTGTCTTCACGCTTCACCTGCAGGCAGAAGCCTCAGATCTCCAAGAAGGTCTACACTGTGGGAAAGCGGATCTGTGGCCACTTTCCTGGGTTGTAGCTAAGGGACTAAAGACACCAAAAACAGGATTTAGAGGCTCAAGGGCGGTCACCCTTAACTACAGAACTTCTTTACTAAGCAGCGTGTGACAAGCCACTCTTCTTTCTCCCGACCTCTGTCCTCCACCTGGAGAAGGAAAAGAAATCACTTGTCCATTTGTCATGACATGCACGTCCCGCACCGGGACCCATTCCACTCCGACCGCGGACCGGGAGTCGGGGGCTGTGGGAGGGCTCACATCTGCCCCCTTTCTCCCTCCAGGGGGGAGTTCTGGGCATTAAGATCGGCTGGGTGTGCGACCTGGACAAGGCTTGGGACCAGTGCATTCCCAAATATTCCTTCACCCGGCTCGACAGCGTTTCTGAGAAGAGCAGCGTCTCCCCAGGCTACAACTTCAGGTAACCCCCGTCCCCCTGGGACTTCGGGAGAAGGAGGCAGGGCTGTCCTAGAGAAGGACACTTCAGGCAGCAACGCATCCTGGGCAGAGATGGTCCCACTTCCTCCCCCTCAGATTTCAGCTCAAAATTAGGAAGGACTTTCCAGCAGTCGGCCACTCGGAGACGGACAGGCCATCCTGTGAGTTCCCCGTCACAGGGAGGGACCGTGTGGAGGATTCATGCTCCCAGCCGGCAGTTAGAGTACAAGACCAGGTCTCCTGCAATGCTGGGTTCTGTGATTCTGAGCCCATTCTTAGCTCCGGCTCTGAAGCTGTAGGTAGTCCCACTCGTCTCCTGTCCCTGAATTGTCTGAGGTTTCTCACTTCACAAAGCAAGGGCGATAATTGGTATCATTTTACAAGGTGGAAATTTTGCATTTCTCTCCATAACCAGGAGATTTCAATTGAGTCACAAATAACAATTACAATGGCCGTTAGTTTTTCAGTGCCTTTCCAAACAAGAACTCATGCCAGTCTTTAAATATCATCTCAGTTATATTCCCAATGGCCTTGAGACATAAGGGATCCCTCTCCCCATTTTGAAGAAGGGGAAAGAGAAGAACTTGGGGTAAACTACTGGGAAACAGCTGAAAGCCCTTGAAAAGCCTTTGACCTTCTCCCATCCTCATTTCCTTATCTATGAAATGGTGATGGTATCCTTATTATCTTGAGCCTATCAGCCAGTGTGTGAAAAGCTTCAGCTCTCGGGAGGTTTTTTTCCTTAATTTTTTAAGATCCTAAAGTTTCTGGCAGGGCCCTGATTACGTACACAGTGTTATATACACTAAACAGGCTAAATTAGGTAAATAGGCAGGTATCAGGAAAAAATAGGTATAAGAATATATTTCAGTTATATATTCAAATTTCCTTTGTTATAGTGGTATTATCTAATATAATAGTAAACATAAGCAAAAAAAATCATTTCACCTTTTTTCCCACCTTTATTAGTAGTTTAAAAGAATAATTATCTGCCCCATTAAGCTTTATATTTAATAGTTTAAAATATATGTGTATTCTCTGGAAAGAAGAATTTTTTAAAATTGAAAGTGCTATCATAATCAACTCTAAACTTAAAAAAAAAAAAACCCATAGGAAACAACACATATTTTAAAGTAGGTTAAAAATACTGTTCAGCTCCCTGGCAGAAACTGGCATATTTATTCAGTCAGTACATCACGCTGAAATCAATACAAAGGATATTTGTATGGTGGCTTAAAATAGTAACAAATTAATAAAATCCTCGTGATCTCAAATGCAAGTTTTCATCTTCATAACGTCTCTCTGGCCATTGGGAATTCTTCAACCTTCCAAATAACTCATTTGGCAGGAGAGCTTATGAAGAATATGGCTAGTTTGAAGACCCCGACTCTTGGTCTCATACAGCTTTAGAACAAAGTCTTTCATTTAAAGAAGAATTGGTTTGGACTTCCTTATTTCCAATTTGTGGTGGCTTGGCTGACACGCACACACACACACACACACACACACACACTCGCACACACACTCACACACACACACACTGCCCCCACCCTCTACCCTCTATCACCCCTAGGCACAGCAGGAGAGCAGGAGATGGATTTGGTCCTAAATAAGCTTGGGTTAAATTTGGAGAGACAGGGACTTTCCTGGTGGTCCAGTGGTTAAGACTCTGTGCTTCCACTGCAGGGGGCACAGGTTCGATCCCTGGTCGGGGAACTAAGATCCCACATGCCGCGCAGTGCGGCCAAAAAAAAAAGGGAGAGAGAAAATTTGGGGAGACAGGTCAGAGGGTCCCTAAGGACCCTGCAAGCTCAATTCCCGAGGGCCTAAAGGAAACCATCTGAGAGGTGTGGGCCCTGGATGACTGACCCCCCTCACCAAAAACCTCCAGGCCGGAGTATGAAGAGGCAAAGCTGCTGCGTTTGACCCTATGGTTTAAGAGTGTCCAGAGGGCCCGAGGAGTAGCCTGGGCGTGGGGGAATCTCTGTGGCCATGGCAAGCAGGGGGCTGGACCCAAGCTTCCTCAAATCCCTCCCCCGGGTGACCACCCACTACCTCATGTTGCCTTCAAGCTGCTGGTACCACACGGACACCCAAGACTAAGTTAAGATCCCCCGCTGGGGAGGCTCCAGGCCACCCATCTGAATCCTCTGTTAAGAGAAAAAGGGTCACGGCCAGGCTCAGCGCGGCCGCGGTGCGGTTCCTATGACGCGGTAGAATGTGTCTGCTCCGTAGAATCCCGCAAGGCTCCTTGCTAGAGGCCCGATACTGGCCGCCCCACGTACAAAGTGTTCCGTGTGCTCTGGCTCAAGGTTCCTCACCCCTGCCAAGGAGGAGCTTCCGTCCCCCCACTTCACAGATGAGAAAATGGAGGCATGCGAGTTAAGTCATTCTCTCAGGGTCACAGAACCAGCAAGCACGGGTGCCTGAACGCAAACCTATTTTCCTGGCTGTTTTCCACCCCATAGGAAGGCTACGGTCATTCGCTTTTGTTTATCCTCAGAAAAACACAGGCAGTGGGGTTGATACTTTCATCCCCAGTTAAAGACGAAGAATCTGAGGTCCTGGGAGGCTAAAAGACTAGCAGCTCCTGGAAGCACCATTCCTTGCCGGGCCTTTTGTCTCCCAAACAAATTCATCTGCCTCTCCCTCTCCAACCGAGGCCAGATTTTTTTTTTTTCCCAACGTTCTGCTGTTGCCATTTGCTCTGGAGGGAATGGAATCATTCAGCCAAGATTCAGCCTTGTTTTAATCTGAAAACTCTGACATCCAGAGGCAGCTAGAGACTCGCATTTCCATCACTAATTACGTCTGCAGCTCCTTTCCAAATGCCGCCCCCACCCCTGAGGATCTTTTCCTGCAGACTCAGAGACTCAGATAATTTAGAGCTGTTAAAGACCCCTGGAAGAGACCTAGACTAAGGCGGTCATTTAGCAGATAAGGAAGCAGACCCTCCAAAGGGGGAAATGATGAGCCCAAGGTCACGGGTGCACCTTAGAGTCTCCTTAGACGTCATTTGCTCCCAAGTCCTACATCATTCTTGGAGGTGCAGCCCCAGAAAAGGTCTGTCCATCATTGGCGGCTCCGGTTATTGGAGAGGTGACCTCGTATTGAACTAAAACGTGTCTCCTTTCAACTCCCACCCAACACCTGGTGCTGTCCATCTAAATTAACCTTTCCAAGTACCTTGAGGGTGTGCAGTTGGTGGGTTCGTCCACATTAGTCCCAGACAAAGTGCAGCATTCCTAAAAATAAGAACTGGCAAGAATCGCGAATTCCATGGTGCGCAGGGTGACGGGCCCCAGAGGCAGGGTTCCTGCATGGCTGGTGCACCCTTAGCTCACGAGAGCAGGACTTTAACCAGAACACTGCATTCCCCAAAGTGCTGGGAACAGGCAGTGTTGCTGAGGGAGTACTGAGTGTGCATTTGCCCATGAGTGGGTGTGTGTGTGTTTGTGAATGAGTATATGTGAGTGAGTGTGGACGTGTGGGTGTGAGTGTGTGCATCAGTTGTGTGAGTTGGTGAGTGTGTGTGAGTGTGTCAGTGAATACATGTGCGTCTGTGTGTGCGTCTATTAAAATACTGTATCGGGGGACTTCCCTGGCAGTCCAGTGGTTAAGGCTCTGCGCTTCCAATGCAGGGGACGCAGGTTCGATTCCTCTTCGGGGAACTAAGATCCCACGTGCCTCACGGCCAAAAATAAATAAATAAATAAATACTGTATCAGTCAGGGTCCCAGCAGGGAACAGATGGCATATGCAAACTGGGTAATTTGAAGAGAGTTGAATACAGAGACTGTTTCAAAGGATATAGGGAAACCACAAAGGATAGTGCAGTGTCTGGGGGCAGTAACAGGACGTTGGTGACTGTCCAAGTGTGGGGTAGAGGGGAGGGAGCATGGTCAGAGGAGATACCCAGCACAAGTCTTTTTTTTTTTTTTTTTTACATCTTTATTGGAGTATAATTGCTTTACAAGCGTGTGTTAGTTTCTGCTTCATAACAAAGTGAATCAGTTACACATATACATATGTTCCCATATCTCTTCCCTCTTGCGTCTCCCTCCCCCCCACCCTCCCTATCCCCCCCTCTAGGTGCTCACAAAACTCCTAGCTGATCTCCCTGTGCTCTGCGCCCAGCACAGGTCTTGACGACTTTCCTTTGTGATATCACAGCCCTGCCCTAACTATTTGAGGTCTCTGAGCCCTTCATGCCCCTGGTGAAAGCACTGATTGCCCAAGAAAAATGCACATGTTCACACACGTGAGCAATTTTTCAGGCAATTTCATTTTTATGAAGGATACTTTATTTCTACAAATAAGATTAAATCCATTCTCTGAATAATACATCCAAGCCAAACAGAGTAACGACATGAAAACTCTCCTCCCTCCCCCAGTCCTACTCCTTTTGCAGGAAATTAACCACTTGGGCAGTTTGTCCATCTTTTTTCTCTGCATTTATATTCATGCAGCATAAAATTCCAGGACTCTGAAGGCCTTTGAAAGCTTATCCCTGGACCTCAGATTAAGAGCCCCTAGGGTTAAGTTTGCAAAGCCCTTTCACACCTATTTTCGACAGGATTTATAGCTCGTTGTCTACCCCTCACCCCCAAGGTAGGCTCAAAAAGATTTTGAGACTTGCCCAAGGTTACACGGCCTGATGAAGAGGAACGCTGGTCCTCAAAGCCAGGGACCTGACCTACCCATTGATCCTAGCACACCTTCCACCGACACATTGCTCGCAAAAAAGAAAACAAGAAAAGAAAAGCAGCTATAAGGGATATACCACCCCCCTCCCCTCCCCACCCCCATCCTGATTGCTGGAATGATAGGAGAGAAGAAAAAGGGTGCATTTAGCAATGTCTGATTTCTTGTTCCTCCCCTGAGAGTTCCTAAGACAGCTTTGCTACTAAAAGGCAACGCAGTTTTGGATTTCCTCTCTCGGTGTCTGGGACAAAAAACACTCGTTCAGCTGCTAGATGTTCC